GCCTCGTGGCGGCGCCGGAGACGACGTCGGCGGTGATGGGGGACTTCCAGGAGCCGTAGGGTGCGGAGATTCTGTGGGATGCAGAGGTGGCGGAGGGTGGTGAAGAGGCCATTGCCCTCTGGCAGTAGAAACGGAAGAAACGACGTCGTTTATGGTGGGTTTTGAGAGAGAGAAGGTTTGTGGTGAAATGGTTGAAGGTGCGAGTGAAGACGAAGTTGGAATAAGAAGAAGAAAGACGAGTGTGCGTGTGAGTGCGAATGGCAATGCCTAACGTGCCCATTCTACGTTATTTTACTACCTTACACTTTATATTATATATATCATATCATATCATGCTAAAAACAAACACTATCGTCTTCAATTTATTAAATTTTAAGAGGCATTCACTTAGTCTCCACCCAAAATAACTATTACTTTAGAATAATAAACCTTTAATATAGTTATATTATTTGTCTTGTTATATCTCCATAAAAATAATCTATTTTTGTTCGTAACTCAAACAGCACCTTTAGTAATTATCATTTTTAAAAAATTATCAAAACTCAACTTGTTATTAGATTCTTCATTGTCAACTTATTTTATCAGCAAGCATATCAAAAATGATTTTAAAAATCATTCGAAAAAACAAATAACTAATCCAAACTGTACCGTAAAAATCGTTTTAATTTAAATTTAATATCAGGAAAAAAAATGGTTTTTGAACACTCATTTAATCATAATTAGTGAACTCAAAATACTTTATGCCTCTATTAAAAATAAGATAAAAATTAAAATTAATAAATAAAATTATGTTGATTCAATTCATGCTATAATTGATATTTAAATCTCAAAGTCTTGAATTTAATTCTTATATTTGATAATAATAAAAATATTACTTTTTAAAACCTTTTAATAAAAAGAAATAGAGATTAAAGTAGTTAGTAAAAATATATCCTTTTATATATTAGTATAAATTTAGTAGTATCAGATTTTGCAATTACAATAAGGTTACTGTACTTTTTCATAATAGAGTTATGCAACATAAAACTCAGCTTTATCTCTTTCTTCAGTTTTGCAAACTAGTATCTTGCTAACTAATTTTTTTTAGAAACTATCTAAGAAATTAATAATAAAAACTTTGTATTAAAAAATGAGGTTTAACCTTTCAATTTTGGTTTATCTAAATTTCATATACTAGATGGCATGCATCCAAACTAATTAGCATTTTCCATCTCTTAATTGTAAAGTTGGAAATGTATCCAAACAGTTAATAAAATATGGAAACCATTCATTTGTTTTGTACTACAGAATTTGGAAGCAAATTGCAACAACAAATACTAATTAAATGCTTATTAATGCGAGTCTTATAACACACAAATAAATCCAATGATATACACCATTATAGAACATAATAATTTGAATAGAACAACCATATAAAGAAAATTTGACAAACTAAAATGAATAAATTACCAAAACAAAAAACAGAAAACAACAGTTGAGACTTTAGGCATAGTAAAATTTAACCAGCCAAATAATAATAATATTAATTTCATCCAATATCATAAAGCCGCGTAACACACTATTTTATATTCTAAAAGCTTCACAGCAGACACCAACATTATTTGAGGTTAACCAATCAATTTTGTAAGAATTTCTTTGAGCACAAAACAGAAAACAAGGGCGACTAACACTTCACACGTTTTCTCCCCTCAAGCAGAATCTAATTGATTCATTTGAAGAACTATATCATATCAGAAAATATTAGATAAATTGTCCAAATACAAAACGCTGAAAAACAAAAATGCAAGGACTTTTTTTTTCTATATTTGTCAGAAGGTATCAGTGATAAAAACTTGGGTCTTCAGTTCATGGGGTATCATAGATCATTGGAAGTATCCGGCTTGTCTTTGTCTTCCATTATCTGTTGGCATATTCTGAAAACCATCAAAATGGGAAACTTGTTAATGTGGAGATAAAATCAAAGGAAAATTACATGCATGTTCATTGGACCATATGAACAATTTTGTGCACAAGAAAGCGTATAATTCAAAGGACTAATCTTATATACACTTGGGTGTTATTTGTATTGTTTTTCAATCAAAAAAATTAAAGTCCCAACTTGGTAATCTGCGCACTACAGATTTAAATAAAATCTTAACATAGATTACCAAAATGAAACTTCAATTCTGATTGAAAAATGGCACTAAAAGAGTCCAATAAATTGTATCTAAGTTTTGTCCTAATTCAAAATGATCATAAGAATATTATTCCCAATGAGATCTATTGATATCATTCATATGTGAAACTTTATTGCACGTGAATCAATAGATTTAATAACCTAACACTATTATGATTTTATGAATAGTTGTGCCCTAGACTCTTCAAGTTATTCTTATGTCCCATAGAAATATATAAAACTGTAAGTATACACTTCTGAAAAGGAACATAGAAATCATACAAGTTTAACTCCTCTGTCTTGCTCTTAATATCACTTGACCATAATATTGGGTCAGCATTCTTAGGAAAAGATTCTTGTTGCTGGATCTTCTCTCTCATCCATTGCTCCACTTTATTGCACTCATTCTTGATCTGAAACAATATAGTAACCACTTGAAAGCTGATCTAAAGGGAAGCATCATAATCACAATATTATTTTTCTTTTATCCATGAGAATTAAACTTGGTACCAAAGAGTTTCCAATAACTAACGCACTATGTTCAACCAATTGAGTTAGACCTCATTGGTCATAATCACAATAGTATATACTAGTTTAGTTGTAATCCTACCAGTTCTTTATCCTTGGGTGTAAGGGAATCTGCAGACACGTGCTTTAAAATGCACTTTGATAAATCTTCTATAGCTTGCTCTCTTTCTTTTTCGTCTTTGTACCTATTCACAATTGGATCTACCAGCTACAAGAATACATAGATAGTAAACAAGAAGCAAGGCAAGGGATTCAGTAATAAAAGGGAGAAAAGAAAACCTTTTTCAGATCTTCTAGTTTTGAAGAATAAGCATGTTCAGTTTCATCAACACCATCCTCATAAAGCCATTCCTCAGTCTCTTGAAGGCTCCTAGATATGTCATCCCTCTCTTTCTCACTTGCAAAGTTCCGATATGTGTTGAAGAGCTATTCAAATGTGCAAATAAATTTAAATGTCAGCTCAGAAAGCAAAATAGAACCAAAAACAATCTTCCAAGGCATCAAAAGAGATAATTTAAAAGTTTCCAACGCGCATAAGATTACAAAGTATAACAGCAGATAATTCTCAGTTTTACATTCTTAATTTCAGCCTTACATTTATAAATGAGTCACTACAGAAAGTCATGAAAACCAATTCTTCAATAACTACACCTTAAACTTAAAGTTTCTCATGTGACACCTCAAGACTTTAACATTAACATCACAAAAGTTAAAGCTCGGATTCATTAAAAAGGAACATGTTAGTTTGTTTGTTTTAAAAGGATCGGCCAATGAAAAAAACTATTTATAGCTTTACCCCTTGTTTGTTTGGGTACAAATGAAGTGAAAGGAAATAGGAAGGGAAAAAGGATAAAAATACTAAATTCCCACAATTTGTTTATGGAAAAAAATGGAAGGATGAAGTTATCTTCATGCGACCCATTAGAGAACATTCCTCCACTGGGTAAATGATCTCTTTTTTTCTTTTATTCAATTCTGGGTTTTTTAATAAAAAAAAACATAAAATATAATTTTTAAAAATAATAAATAATATTATGTTAAAAATATTATTAAAAATTGCATTTAATTATTGTGAAATTATTTATTTAATTTATTTGTTATGGTCGGTTTCTTTTCACTCATTCAAACAAAGAGAAATTCCACCACTCTTCATTTTTATTCATCCAAATAACACATCTTTTTTCATTTTATTTCTTTTTTGTTTCTATAATCCATTTGTTATGGTCGGTTTCTTTTCACTCATTCAAACAAAGAGAAATTCCACCACTCTTCATTTTTATTCATCCAAATAACACATCCTTTTTTCGTTTTATTTCTTTTTGGTTTCTATCATTCCTATTCCTTTCCTCTGTACTTCACTCCTTATCCAAACAAAACATTAGTGCGTGACTGCATAAAAACCAAATATTCTGCATCACAGAAACCAGTCACGTCAACAAATTATTGAAACATTAAATCTGTACCTTACTCCTCATATCATATACATAAGACTCCAAGGTATTCTTCTTTTCTTTGGTTTGCTCTACAATTCTGTCCTGTTGAGCCAACTGGAGTTCTTTTTCATGAGCTTCTGAGATCTCTGCCTTTGTCATTCCACCATAGATATCCTCATTCACTGGCACATCAAGCCTTCTGTTAGCCTTATCTTTTCTTGTACCATCAGCCTGTTAAAAGGTATGATAGAAATATTTAGTTTACTTCAAACACCAAATGAATCATATCTGCAATCATAATTATCACCACAATCACAATCAGCCCGTAAAAAGTTAGGATAATGATAGTAATATTATAATTCACTCCAAACACCAAAATAGACTTTACGAAAACCAATCATGATTTCATGACAAATATGTCAAGAATCCATCATCAGATATAATTAAATTGTTTCTTACATTTTAGCTATAAATTTTTCTATGCTCAAAGGATAAAATTGCTAGAAATCCAACATCTGAGATCTCCCATAAAGGAAAAAAGGAAGTGAGATACAAAGAGCGGGGAAAACACGAGTACTTACAGAACTACATGGAGATTCAAACTTCTTGTTGGTATTATCTTCAAAGCCATTAGCTTCTGTCTCAGAAATGGGATCAACATCCATTGGATCAGAATTTGAATGAGAATCCACCTCCATAACTGAATCATCTATGTCATCCTTGATCAACTGAAACCATAGAAAGTTTTATGTCCATAGATCTCTTGGAAAAACAAATAACCACAATACGGAAAAATAAAATGGTGCTTCTTACTTACTGTGGCTGATTCAATACTGACAATGCCATGCAGATTAAGTGGAACTTTAACTTTAATTCTGGTCTCACTACCATGGGAGCCATGGAAAGGACCAATCTGAAATCAAGGAGTGATCAAATACATAAGCATATTTGAAGGTGTGGAAATGCAGATAATGCATGCTGAATTACCAGCAAAAGGGATGGTGTTAGATCTACTATATACACTTCCTCTTTCTCCTAACATAATGATTTAGTCAAGTGTGTGCATATGCACAGAAATCTGATTCTTCCTCTCATATTGTTATGCATAATTAGTTTTACAACAATGGTTTCCTTTTATGTCAGAACAAGTAATAGGCACAGGCACAAGACATTTGGTAATGAAGTCTATCAATCATTGGGAAATAGGGTGAGGAGTCTATTGCAACAGCACTGGGATCCATAAAATAATTTTTTCACTTGATGCCAATAATTGACAGGAGTCAGAAAAAATGTTTGGAGATACTTGCATATATTATAATATGACATTGACAGGTTCTAAATATTGGAATATTATAACTCAAATGGGAGAGGTGTTGATTGCAGTAATGATGACAGTATACCAAACACACTTTTCTGTGGAATTTAAACATTGCTATATATTAATAAATGAGTACCCAAAAAGTAAAATAAAGAATGTCAAAAATTTCACATAGATTTACCCAAAAAAAATAAGATCTCACACAAAGCTATATAGTGCATGAATTGCATTAAACACACAGGAAAACCATGAGTGAGGATGATAACTACTAAGAAACGGGGTGACTGAGGAGAATAATATAAAACAGATAAAAATGTGCACAACATAATTTTAACCGCTTCACATTAACTGAATGTTCTAAAGTGGGCATACCGTGACACAACTAATTTTGGGAGATGTCCCAGGTGGAAGTTCATCTGGATTAGCATAGAAAGCTTCCAAATGAAACAAACTACTTCGCTGAAAGGTTATGACTTTAACACTTGGAAAAGGTTGGCCTCTTGGGAAAAGTACACCTTTTGATCCAGCAGCGATTGGGCATCCATCTATTGAAAGTCCAATGGAAAAGGGAAGAGTATCCTGGACCTGGACAAACATGAGAAATGACATTAATTATATAAAGAGAAACACAGCAAAAAGAGGCACAAAAGTCTATGCCTATAAGAAATTAAAGTAACAGAAATTTCATTTAAATCAGAAAAAAGAGAAAAATGGAACTATGGAAGAAAATTAAAAGGACAAAAATAAAACTTGATAGAACAAACCTAGTTACTACATTTCTAAGCATCTACAAACTTAATAATCAGCAATATATAAAATAAAGATAGGATGAGAATAGATTTGAAAAAATAAATATACATACATCATATTCTCTAACACGGTAAACGGGACTGAGCATTGCACATTGTAGAGCACAACCACGAGCTACACACTCACTTGCATTCAGCTGTCGGCTGGGTTCTCTCTTGAATAGAGTAGTTAGTAATGTACGTATAGCTGGAATCCTAGAACATGAACCTACTAGCTCCACTGAAGAAATTTTCTCTGCTGTCAAGTTTGCATCAGTTAATGCTCTGTTGCATGGAATGGAAACTCTCTCCAATAATCCTGATGCCAGCTTCTCATATTCTTCTCTAGTGATAAAGCCTTTAACATCTTTCTCATCCATCAAGCATTCAATATTTAGAGGTGCCTCTAGATTTGCGCTCAAAACTTTCTTCAATTTCTCACATGCTGCATGTAGCCTAATGCATGCCTTGGCATTAGAGTACACATCAATGTGATACTCTTCCTTGAACTTTGCTGCAAAATGACTAAATAGAACCTCATCAAAGTCCCTCCCCCCTAAGCTCCTGTCAAATGCATGCGAAAGTATCTTCATTTTCCCAAACTCAAATGATGCAATGGAGACCTGAGTATCACAGTGACCAATGTCGATAAATGCAACATAAACTGGACTTGCACTGCCAAAATCTGTTTTATACATTCCATAACTAAGGGCAGTTGCAGTGCAATCATGGATCAATCTCAAAGGCTTCAACCCAGCAATTTTTGCTGCATCTAGATATGCCCGTCGCTGCAAGTCAGTAAAGTACGAAGGGATCCCAATAACGCAATCCGAAATGGGCATCTCCAAATCCTTTTCAGTCATAGTCTTCAAGTGAGCAAAGAGCATGGACATTATTTGAACGGGTGTAAATACATGAGTCTCCCCCAAGTATTTCAAGTGAATCAAAATGCCACCATCTGAGCCCTCAGAAGTTTTAACAGGGAGCATTTTCAGCTCTTTTTCCACATCAGGATCCGCAAATGTCCTCCCTATCAGTCTCTTTATTTGAGATATTGTGGACTTGATGTGCATCATAGCAGAGGCAGCTCCAGCAGACCCCAAAAGCCGCTGTTTCTCGCCAAAGCAGACCACAGCAGGAGTTTCGCGTTTGGATTCATAGTTCAACAAAACATCAACCCCACGTTGCCTAACTACAGCAATGACACAGTTCTCATTACCAATGTCAAACCCCACCACACTCATCTCAACTCACTTGCACCAAACTTCAACCAATTAGTTCAATCCAATTCACCCACCCTACTCATCAACCCAAACCTCCCAAAATCCAAAATTTCACCAGATTCCACAAAATCAGCCAGAAACCTAGGCTTCACCACAAATCACTACAAAAGAAAACAAAAGGCATTGAAAAGACACATCAGAATGAGAAATCCTTACATCGAAATGAAACAATGAAAGTACTTATAAACTAAACTCCATCTAGTATCCACTCTTGCCAAGAATTCCTTAGATTGCCCATCAGGTGAAAGCAGAAATAAAAGTCAAAAATGGGGAAAGAGGAAATGATGAAATGGGTAGGGGAAGCAACAATTTAAGCCTAAGCCATTACTAAAATCGCATTTTTCCTTAATTTTGCTCAATTTCCCAGAAAAATTGAGGAAAAAATAGAGGGGCATGCTTTTAAATGTAATAGGAAAGTCACATAAGTTAACAAAAAGTGGATTGAGGCAATCTGAATTCAACAGCAGCAAAGAAAGGAGTATACCTTATGGACGGTGGAATCAAGAAGCATTTGGGATTGCATAGTGCGGGGATGACGATTGGAATACAAAGAGAGTGAGTAAGAAAGAAAAATCTTCGCTTTCTTTCGATGCCACGAAGCAGGGTTTTTAACATGAGTTTGCAACAACGCCAAATATGAGAATGATGAGATTATTTGGGTAATGTAATATTTGTTTTGGGAATGTTGTATTAATGTTAGTTTCCTCAACCATTTTTTTTACTATATTAAATAAGTAAATAAGGGTAAAAGTATATTTTTATATATTAAAATTTTATTTTTTCATCTTGAAAAAATCATTTTTCTCACTTTTTATTGGAATAATTTATGAAAAATTTATGAAAAAAATCATTTCTAGAAAATGTTGTTTCTTAATAATGTTAGTTTTTAAATTTATAGCAAATGCGAAAAATTAACATTTATAACTAGAAAAGTAAAAAACTTTTTAAAATATTTGGTATACCGAATCAATTTCATTATATTAAATAATTAAATAAAAGTAATGATATTTTTACTACATTAAAATTTTATCTTCACCTTCATAAAGGTAATTTTCATCTCATGAGAAGTATGAAACATATGAAAAAATAATTCTTGTAAAACAATATTTCATAAAAATATTATTTTTTAAATAATAAATCAAACCTCATCATATTCCTAAGAAAGTATAAATTTTTAATCTGCCAAACACTTTCTAATGCTTTGTTTGGAGGGGAGGATAGAATAGAAGAAAATAAAAGAAAATAGGTAAAAATTAATTTAATAGAAAATAGGTAAGATAGAATGAAATTTATAATTATTAATTAATAAAGTGAAATTAAGTGAAAAATAGAATGAAATTGGTATTTACAATTACCATATTACCCTCACTTTATAATATAGTTGAAATTAATATTTTTTTGCATTAGTAATTTTACACATTTTTTAAATTCTACAAGAATCTTCTCAATAGAGAAGATATAAAAAAATTACGTGGGATCCATTTATAATTCTTCACAACTCTCTTTAAATATCCTTTACTAAACACAATTTTTCTTTAAAACCACTGAAATTCATCCCCTCCCTATTAAATCACCTCTACCAAACAAAGGTTAAGAGTCTCACTAACCAATGACCTTAAAACATTAGTTAAGAAATTAATATATAAAAGTTTTTATTAAAAACTAAAATACATTTTTTATAATATTTTATATTTTTTATTTACTAACGTTTTCAATAAAGACTTATTATCATTTTCCAAAAAATAAAGACAACCCAACTTATTTAATTAGAGTTTATCATAGATTTCAAAAAAAAAAATTAAAGCTTCTTTTATAAGAAAATTACAAAAATAACAATGCAAAATCAGACCTAAATCTCCATTCATATACTTATCCCCTCCCAACAACTAAACAAGTTTACACATTTAACCAATAAAAGTTATTATTAAAAGGTTAAATTAGATTTTTAGTTTTTCTATGTTATTAAATTTGTAATTTTTGTTTATTTATTTTTTAATTTTGTAATTTTGACACCTCAATTTTATAAAATTTATAATTTTGGTCTCCGATGAATGTTCAATTAAAATCGTAATGTTAGTTATAATTTGACATTAAATAAATGACATACCAAATAACATTTAATGATATTTAGACTAAATTTCACTTTTAGTTCTCATTTTTAACTCATAAAAATGGTAAAATGATATAGAAGTAGGTAAAAATGAGAGTTAAAAGTGCAATTTAGCCTAAATAATTAAATATTAATCATGATATCATCTATCTAAAAGTAAGTCACGATAAAAGTTATAATTTTAATGATTAACATATAAATATATAGTGAAAGGACTAAAATTTCATATTTTATAAAATTGAGGGACTAAAAATATAAAAGTAAAAATTAAAAGATCAAAATTTCAATTTTGTCTTATTAAAATGGTTTGGTTATTGTAAAAATTAATGGGCTTACTATTTAAGGTATGACATAGTTAAAAATTTATATATATATATATATATATATATATATTATTCCTTTATAGTTTAGCTTTGGTATCAAATAAATAAATAAGTAAAATAAAAATACAAAATAAAAAAAAATAGAGTAAAATTTTGAATTGTTTAATTTAATATTAATGAAAATGGGAGAATAGACAAATAATATTGTGAAATTGTTTAATTTAGAAGAAAAAAATATAAAACTAAATATATTTCACTTTTAACTATGTTATTGGTACAAAGTATTCATTATAATACTATATATTTTTACTTTATGCATGTGATGTGAACCTAGAGGGATGAATTCATTTTATGGATCTATCTAGGCTAGAAAGCTCATAATTAAGAAATTAAAAGAAAAAAAATATGGATTGAGGTAAGAAATAGAAGAACAATGCCACAATCCCTAAAGATTGATAAGTTGAGGAAGATTCGCCACTTTGAATTAGGAAATTCAAGGATAAGAATCAAAATTAGTTCCTAAGAACCAAGAGAGAGAAAATCCTCTCAATTGGAAAAATATCCAAATTCTGAATAATTCATTCTCTCTCAAACTTTTACAAATGATTCCTATTTATAAGCTTAGATGGGCAAGATGACATAAATTTCCACTAATTTCCCACTAACACTTAATAACTACTAGAATTGACTCCTCACCAGCCCACTAACTCATTAAATTCCATTAAGCCTAAAACACTAAATGATGGTCTAGGTAACTTGGAAAGTCATCTGACTTATTTAATAAAATTAATAAAACAAAAATTACATTAAAAAATAAGATAATAGACTTATTTAATTATTCAACCCCAAACTACTTAAATTCCAGCCCATTAATCCTTCTTCTTTATCATATGACTTTGAGCTTGTTAGTCTTCAATTTTACCCTGCTGGATTCACATCATACCCTCCTTCTTTGAGAAGATTCGTCCCAAATCTTAAGACTTTATTTATTTTCTAATTTATTTAATTCACTAACTACTGCCGGAACGCAAATGCTTCCTCCTGGATCGAAGACATCTCGCTTGTATCCATCTTTAGCTTTACTTGTTGGTAAGTTATTAATCATCCACGAAACAAATAAAACCTCTTTGAACTCATAACCACAAACATACTCAATGAATAGGAATTGAATCTCGTTCAAGTGATAACTTTGGAAAACAGTAACTTCAAAATCAACTCCAATTTCCAAGTGCAGGGTCTCTTGAATTTTATTCTGAAACATGGGTCGGATGTATAAAGGTGCATTAGGAATGGTGTTGACATGTTTCTTGAAACAAGAAAACTTGTCCTCCTGTTCCTGTAAATTTGCCACATCAAAAGAAAAAAAATGTAACGATAGAGTTGTCATCTTCCTCTCTATGTTTCTCACCTTCTGCTCTCATCTTCTCTTCTCTCTTTTTTTTCTATCTTTATTTTCAATTTCAGTTGATCCTCATGTACAGCGTCGGATGATAGACATATCAACTTAATCCTTCGTCCACCATGCACAAAAGAAATAGAAGGTCGTTCATGATTTATAATTTTATTGTACAGCCATGGCCTCCCTAATAACATATGGCATGTCTCCATGGGGGCAATATCACAAAGAACTTCATCTTCATATTTTCCAATAGAGAATTTAATCATTGCTTGTCCATTTGTAGTGGGCAGACATAATTTCTCAACCGCCCTGCTGCTCACGACATTTTTGAAATTGAATTCATGTACTACGACTAAGAATAGAGAGTCGTCAACCAAACATATTGTATAGTAAATTTCCATTTCCATTCCAAACCCAGAGCCGAAGCTCTGATACCAAATGATCTGAACCTAGAGGGATTGATTCATTTTACGGATCTATCTAGGTTGGAAAGCTCATAATTAAGAAATTAAAAGAAAAAAAATATGGATTGAGGTAAGAAATGGAAGAAAAACGCCACAATCTCTAAAGATTAATAAGTTGAGAAAGATTTGCCACTTTGAATTAGGAAATTCAAGGATAAGAATCAAAAGTAGTTCCTAAGAACCTAGAGAGAGAAAATCCTCTCAATTGGAAAATATCCAAATTTTTAATAGTTCATTCTCTCTCAAACTTTTACAAATGGTTCCTATTTATAAGCTTAGATGGGCAAGATGACATAAATTCTCACTAATTTCCTACTAATACTTAATATCCACTAGAATTGACTCCTCACCAGCCCACTAACTCATTAAACTCCACTAAGCCTAAAACACTAAATGTTGGTCTAGGTAACTTGGAAAGGCATCTGACTGATTTAATAAAATTAATAAAACAAAAATTACATTAAAAAATAAGATAATGGACTTATTTAATTATTTAGCCCCAAACTACTTAAATTCTAGCCCATTAATCATTTTTCTTTATCATATGACTTCGGGCTTGTTAGTCTTCAATTTTACCTTGCTGGATTCACATCAACCTAGAGGGATGAATTCATTTTACGGATCTATCTAGGTTGGAAAGCTCATAATTAAGAAATTAAAAGAAAAAAAATATGGATTGAGGCAAGAAATGGAAGAACAACATCACAATCCCTAAAGATTGATAAGTTGAGGAAGATTCGCCACTTTGAATTAGAAAATTCAAGAATAAGAATGAAAAGTAGTTCCTAACAACCTAAAGAGAGAAAATTCTCTCGATTGAAAAAATATTCAAATTCTGAATAATTCATTCTCTCTCAAATTTTTACAAATGGTTCCTATTTATAAGCTTAGATGGGCAAGATGACATAAATTTCCACTAATTTCCCACTAACACTTAATACCCACTAGAATTGACTCCTTATCAGCCCACTAACTCATTAAATTCCACTAAGCCTAAAACACTAAATGTTGGTCTAGGTAACTTGGAAAGTCATCTGACTTATTTAATAAAATTAATAAAACAAAAATTACATTAAAAAATAAGATAATAAACTTATTTAATCATTCAGCCCCAAACTACTTAAATTTCTGCCCATTAATCCTTCTTCTTTATCATATGACTTCAGGCTTGTTAGTCTTCAATTTTACCCTGTTGGATTCACATCAGTTCTACGGTTCTTCCCTTTTCCCTTGATTTCTTGCTTTTGAGAAGCAATTGAGGTAAGAAAAGCTGATTGTTTGATTCTTATGATGATTGTTGAATTTGCTGATTGGTGGCTTGATTTGTTGATTTTGAAGTAGTTGTTGA